GCCTGGAGGGAGTTCTGTGAGAAGAGCTTAGGGTGCCGAGGCTGAATCCACAAAGCGTTGTAACCGAGCTTGGGAGTTAATGCAGGTTGCAGATGAGGTGCGCCACCGTGGATGGTTCAAGGGATTCGTACTGAGGGTTGAGGGTGGAGGGTTTAGGGTTGAGGGGCCCACCAAACTCTACAGAGAGCAGGCTTCGTGTCAAAATGACCCTCCGATTGATTCCGATGCCCTACACAATACCTATAACCCTAACTCGCCTTATCGCCCCATAACCCCATAACCCCGTAACCGTATAGCCATATAAACCAAAACTCTCAACCCTAAACCCTAACACTGTAAACTCTAAACCTAGAAACCAAAACTCTCAACCATGGTCTCCAAGAAAATCTTGAGGGGTCCTAGAGCAGTAGCTTGTCACAGGAACTTCTTTAGGGTTTAGGGTTTAGGGTTCAGGGTTTAGGGTTTAGGGTTTAGTAGGGTTTAGGGTTTTAGGGTTTTAGGGTTTTAGGGTTTTAGGGTTTTAGGGTTTTAGGGTTTTAGGGTTTTAGGGTTTTAGGGTTTTAGGGTTTTAGGGTTTTAGGGTTTTAGGGTTTTAGGGTTTTGGATCTTCATCACGATGCGAGGCATCACGATGCGAGGCTGCGATTCTATAGGGGGCCGGGCTTTAGATCGTCGCATGAGATGTCGCTCATTACAACCCCGAGTTTCCTTGCACTGTAGGATCACCATAGGCCCGAGAGACATCCAGCAGTATCACGAAGATTTTGGAAGTACCCATTTCGCCTCTCCTTCAAAAAACAACCTAGGATTATCAATTCTTGTTTCGAACTTGCAATCTGCGAGCTCCTTTAGAACAGGGCCTTTTCGGGACCCTAGAGCTGATATGTTCTAGAAATCTGGGCATGCAGGGCATTATGTCATCAGGACCTTGGGCCTCCCTTTGCTCGGCGTGTGTCCTGGAGCTGGCTGCACCGTGCCAATGCGGCGAGGAGGACGTGGGCCCCCTCCGCGCCCTGGGAGTCTTCTCCGAAACACCTGGGCCGGCGGTTCTTGCAGGTGGTAAACGCCCCATGTGGAGGCGGGACAGCCGACGCGGCGCCACCTCTCCACATAAAGAAAGCAGGGAAGCCGAAAGGTCCCCTTCCGAGGCACCACGAGAAGTCGGCCTTCTGCAGCTTCTCCCAGCGCGCATCCCGGAGCTGCCGCCAGGCCTCCGCGGGGATTTGGGAGCAGAGCTGCATGTCCAGCTCCTGGCGGGTTTCCGGCTGCCCCACGGAGGTGCATGCGGGGGGGAACGGGTCGCGCAGGTCTCGTCTCGGGGGTGGCGCTCTGAGTCGGCGAGGGCTCTAGTTTTGAGGGGAAAAAGGCGGGTCGAAGATGGTTATACTACAGAAGACTTAAAAGCGCAGCGGCCTCATGATGAAGAAACCCACAAACCCTCCAAAAAAGCCGAGGGGGAATCCCCCTCTATCGCCCCAAAGGCCTGCGAGGGAGTTCTGTGAGAAGAGCTTAGGGTGCCGAGGCTGAATCCACAAAGCGTTGTAACCGAGCTTGGGAGTTAATGCAGGTTGCAGATGAGGTGCGCCACCGTGGATGGTTCAAGGGATTCATGCTGAGGGTTGAGGGTTGAGGGTTGAGGGCTCAGGGTTTAGGGTTTAGGGTTTAAGGGGCCCACCAAACTCTGTACCCTCCGATTGATTCCGATGCCCTGCACAATACCTATAACCCTAACTCGCCTTATCGCCCCATAACCCCATAACCCCGTAACCGTATAGCCATATAAACCAAAACTCTCAACCCTGAACCCTAACACGGTAACCCCTAAACCTAGAAACCAAAACTCTCAACCATGGTCTCCACGAAAATCTTGAGGGGTCCTAGAGCAGTAGCTTGTCACAGGAACTTCTTTAGGGTTTAGGGTTTAGTAGGGTTTAGGGTTTTAGGGTTTTAGGGATTAGGATCTTCATCACGATGCGAGGCATCACGATGCGAGGCTGCGATTCTATAGGGGGCCGGGCTTTAGATCGTCGCATGAGATGTCGCTCATTACAACCCCGAGTTTCCTTGCACTGTAGGATCACTATAGGCCCGAGAGACATGCAGCAGTATCACGAAGATTTTGGAAGTACCCATTTCGCCTCTCCTTCAAAAAGCAACCTAGGATTATCAATTCTTGTTTCGAACTTGCAATCCGCGAGCTCCTTTAGAACAGGGCCCTTTCGGGACCCCAGAGCTGATATGCTTTAGAAATCTGGGCATGCAGGGCAGTATGTCATCAGGACCTTGGACCTCCCTTTGCTCGGCGCGTGTCCTGGAGCTGGCTGCACCGCGCCAACCCGGAGAGGAGGCCGCCGGCCCCCTCTGCGCCCTGGGAGGATCCGTTGAAACACCTGGGTCGGCGGTTCTTCCAGGTGGGAAGGGCCCCATGTGGAGGGGGACAGCCGACGCGGCGCCACCTCTACGCACAAAAGAGGAGGGAAGCCGAAAAAGCATCCCCCCCCCTTCCGAGGCACCACGAGAAGTTGGCCTTTTTCAGCTTCTCCCAGCGCGCGTCCCGGAGCTGCCGCCAGGCCTCCGCGGGGACTTGGGAGCAGTTGCGCATGTCCAGCTCCTGGCGGGTTTCCCGGGTGCCCCACGGAGGTGCATGCGGGGGGGGAATGGGTCGCGCAGGTCTCGTCTCGGGGGTGGCGCTCTGAGTCGGCGAGGGCTCGTTCTTTTGAGGGGAAAAAGCGGGTCGAAGATGGGTATACTACAGATTACTTAAAAGCGTAGCGGCCTCATGATGAAGAAACCCTCAAACCCTAGCCGAGGGGGAATCCCCCTCCATCGCCCCAAAGGCCTGAAAAGCCTGGAGGGAGCTCTGTGAGAAGAGCTTAGGGGGCCGAGTCCACAAAACGTTGTAACCGAGCTCGGGAGTTTAATGCAGGTTGCAGATGAGGTGCGCCACCGTGGATGGTTTAAGGGATCGTGCTAAGGGTTGAGGGTTTATAGGGTTTAGGGTTTAGGGGCCCACCAAACTCTACAGAGAGCAGGCTTCGTGTCAAAACCACCCTCCGATTGATTCCGATGCCCTACACAATAAACGCTATACCGGCTATACCCCCTAACTCGCCCTATAGTCCCATAACCCCAAACCCGTAACCGAAAAGCCAAAAAAACCAAAACTCTCAAACCCTAAACACTATAAGCATGTCACAGGAACTTCTTCAACCTCCGGCTCAGGGTTTCAGGGTTCAGGGTCTTAGGGTTTTTAGGGTTTAGGCTTTGGGGTTTTAGGGTTTTAGGGTTTAGATTTTTTGTCACGATGGGAGCTGCGATTCTATTGGGGGCCGGGCCTTAGATCGTCGCATGAGATGTCGCTCATGACAACCCCGAGTTTCCTTGCACTATAGGCCCGAGAGACATCCAGCAGTATCACTAAGATTTTCGAAGTACCCTCTCGTCTCTCTCCTTCAAAAACAACCTAGGATTATCAATTCTTGTGAACTTGCAATCCGCGAGCTCCTTTAGAACAGGGCCCTTTCGGGACCCTAGAGCTGATATGTTATAGGAGTCTGGACATGCAGGGCATGATGCCATCAGGACCTTGGACCCTCCCTTTGCTCGGCGCGTGTCCTGGAGCTCGCTGCACTGCGCCAACGCGGCGAGGAGGACGTGGGCCCCCTCCGCGACCTGGGAGTACCCGTTGAAACACCTGGGCCGGCGGTTCTTCCAGGTGGTAAGGGCCCCATGTGGAGGGGGACAGCCGACGCGGCGCCACCTCTACGCACAAAGAAAGCAGGGAAGCCGACAAAACATCCCCCCCCTTCCGAGGCACGCGAAGAAGTTGGCTCTCTGCAGCTTCTCCCAGCGCGCGTCCCGGAGCTGCCACCAGGCCTCCGCGGGGACTTTCCAGCAGTTGCCCATGACCAGCTCCTGGCGGGTTTCCGGGTGCCCCACGGAGGTGCATGCGGGGGGGGAATGGGTCGCGCAGGTCTCGTCTCGGGGGTGGCGCTCTGAGTCGGCGAGGGCTCTAGTTTTGAGGGGAAAAAGCGGGTCGAAGATGGGTATGCTACAGATTACTTAAAAGCGTAGCGGCCTCATGATGCAGAAACCCCAAAACCCTCCAAAAAAGCCGAGGGGGAATCCCCCTCCATCGCCCCAAAGGCCTGAAAAGCCTGGAGGGAGTTCTGTGAGAAGAGCTTAGGGTGCCGAGGCTGAATCCACAAAGCGTTGTAACCGAGCTTGGGAGTTAATGCCGGTTGCAGATGAGGTGCGCCACCGTGGATGGTTCAAGGGATTCGTGCTGAGGGTTGAGGGTTGAGGGGCCCACCAAACTCTACAGAGAGCAGGCTTCGTCTCAAAACGGTCCTCCGGTTGATTCCGATGCCTGCACAATACCTATAACCCTAACACGCCCTATAGCCCCATAACCCCATAACCCCGTATAGCCATATAAACCTAAACTCTCAACCCTAAACCCAAAACACTATAAACCCTAAACCTAGAAACCAAGACTCTCAACCATGGTCTCCAAGGGAATCTTGAGGGGCCTAGAGCAGTAGCATGTCGCAGGAACTTCTTCAACCCCCGGCTCAGGGTTTTAGGGTTTAGGGTTTTAGGGTTTTTGGGGTTTATAGGGTTTAGGGTGTAGCGTTTAGGCTTTTAGGGTTTGAGGGTTTAGGATCTTCATCACGATGCGAGCTGCGATTCTATTGGGGGCCGGGCTTTAGATCGTCGCATGAGATGTCGCTCATTACAACCCCGAATTTCCTCGCGCTATAGGATCACTATAGGCCCGAGAGACATCCAGCAGTATCACTAAGATTTTGGAAGTACCCATCTCGCCTCTCCTTCAAAAAACAACCTAGGATTATCAATTCTTGTTTCGAACTTGCCATCTGCGAGCTCCTTTAGAACAGGGCCCTTTCGGGACCCTAGAGCTGATATGTTTTAGAAATCTGGGCATGCAGGGCATTATGTCATCAGGACCTTGGACCTCCCTTTGCTCGGCGCGTGTCCTGGAGCTGGCTGCACCGTGCCAATGCGGCGAGGAGGCCGCTGGCCCCCTCTGCGCCCTGGGAGTCTCTGTTGAAACACCTGGGCCGGCGGTTCTTCCAGGTGGGAAGGGCCCCATGTGGAGGGGGTCAGCCGACGCGGCGGCACCACCTCTACGCATACAGAAAGCAGGGAAGCCGAAAAACATCTCCCCCCCTTCCGAGGCACGCGTAGAGGTCGGCCTTCCGCAGCTTCTCCCAGCGCGCGTCCCGGAGCTGCCGCCAGGCCTCCGCGGGGACCGTCCAGCAGTCGCGCATGTCCAGCTCCTGGCGGGTTCCGGGTGCCCCACGGAGGTGCGGCGGAGGGAATGGGTTGTGTGCGGGTCTCGGGGTGGCGCTCGCTCCTTTTTGGGGGTAAAAGCGGGCCGATATAAATATACGAAAGAAGACTTGAGGGAGGGAGGGAGATGGCCTCATCCCCTCCAAAAAAAGAAACGTCTATATCTTTGGGCTTTTGTGCTGCTCATGTCTCAGATCGCGGCTTCTCGCCTCGCCGACGCCGAAAAGGAGCAGGATCAGCAACTCTTCGAGTAGTTCCCCGCGTCCAGCAGCTCCGGCCGCTTTCTTGACGTCGCCTCGGCAGCAGCTTGGCAGGGGATCTCTGTTGGGGGGGCTTCTGGGAGCTTTGCTTCCTGCCTGCCGCGAGCTGAGCTGCAGGCCTCCGCACCGCATCACTCTTTTGCTTTCCTGGGCCCGGTGAAAGACGTTTATGCGACCTCCATGGCTTCCACACACGAGATATTTGCGGCGCCTGCACCACGAACACGCGCGCTTCATCGGGATAGGGAAGCCCCGGCGCTGCGAAGTTCTTCAGCGCTGCCAATGCAGAGGCCGCGTCGAATCTGTCGGCGCGAAGAGCTTCTTTGACCTGGCAGGACCAGCAATCACCCACCGCATTCAGGGTATACGCTTTTGGGATGCCCTTGGCGGTGCGACCGTCAGAAAAAGCTGCGCATGGATTCGCTGGCTCCGTTTTGGGATCCTTCGCGCCCACATATGCACCCATGGCGCTACGCATGTGCACTCTGCCAGTGATATTTCTGAGAAAAGAACTGTAAACGGAAAAGAAACCGCAGCCACGACAACTTGAGCAGGGCTCTGGAGGCTCTGGACAGGTCTCCCAGCCTATCGTGTTTGGAGTCAAGGCTTACCACTCCCCCGTGCCCGTTTTTAGGGCTGAGCCTCCAGGCACCGTCGCTTTTTGGTGCCTTCTAAGGCTTCAGAAGCACTCCCCACCTGCTCGGTTTTGGGACTTGCCAGCCACATCTCTGAACCCTATACTTTTCACTTTTTTGTAGGGTTCAGGGCCTCCACACCTCAGGCCTTGCCAGCCAACATCCCCCTTTCATCCCCCTTTCGAGGGCTCAGTTTTTTGGGCCTTGTCAGCCAACGGTCAGCTCCCAACGTCCATATCCTGTTCGGTGTCAGCATCTCATGTATATAGGGTTTCGAGATGCTTAGAGGGCTTGCCAGCCAACATCTCCTTTGGCGGCTTGGGGGTCTCATAGCATCCCCTGTTCGTCTCAGATGCGCCTCTCTTTGAAAGCGCTGGCATCGGGGGTTGGGCTAAAAGGGTTCATGAGATCACAAACACCCATGCTCCCATGATGCGGGCGCAATGCGAGCCCCACTTCGGTTATATTTTCACTTTCTTGTAGGGTTCAGGGCTTCCACACCTTAGGCCTTGCCAGCCAACACCTCCCCTTCCAGGATTTTGGCCACTAACCCTTGCCAGCCAACGGTCAGGACTCCCAACCCCCATATCATGTTCGGTGTCAGGGCTTGCCACGCCCCATCTCATTTATATCGTGTTTAGAGATGCTTAGGGTCTCATAGCATCCCCTGTTCATCTCAGGGGCGCCTCTCTTTGAGAGGGACGCGGCATCGGGGGTTCCATCAGAGGTGTCTGGGTTTCTAAACAGGGACACGGCCTCGAGGTTCCAGAAATCGCTCTTTGCAAGCTCTCTGTTACGTCCAGGCCCCAGGCCTAGTTCAGAGTGGACAACAGGACATTGACCCTGCGCCCAGCGCAGCTTCCGAAATTGGGGGGCTTCAGCCCAAGAGCAAGCAAATGGAAAACTCGGGTCTCGCCTGGAGATGCCTTTCCCTACGCCGCCGCCGCTGCAGTTGCTGCTGTCTAATTACAAAAAAGCTGCATGTTGCAACCACCACCCTGACAACAACAGGCGGTGCACAGGGACAATGCGCAAGTCCGCTGCAAGCCTTCTGCCAACTCTCTGCTTCCTCATCGAAAGGCTCCCTGGGCTGGTCCTGGACAGGTTTGCCATGAAGGAGAAGCTGCTGCAGGCACCGGGATTCTCCATGTGTACTTCAGCTTCGTCCTTCCATCGTGGATAAGCTCGTGGGCATCTCGGAGCATGCGCCGGCTGAAGGCCGACGATGTGTGTAGCTGGGTAGACTCTGCACGGCCGCATGCCCCGCACGACACGCCTGGTTGATCCGACCCGACGCGACCCTTTCCCGTGAAGTTCCTGCCTGCTAGACGATGTGCGAGGGTGCCGGATTCTGCTGAAAATGGAGGCAGCTCAGCTGTGTACGCTGGCCGTATACTGCAGCGGAACTCCATTCCTCTCCCCTCCCTCCCTCCCCGCCCCGACGCGCTGTGACTCCCGGGAGACCCAACTTCCATGAGATCCTCAAAGATTTTGTTTCAAGACTTTTCAAGACTTTCAAGCAGGTTCAAAAGACTTTCAAGCAAGGGCAGCTTGAGATTCCTAAGGTTCACTTGGCAGATCGCGGGCTCTGGTCGAAAGATTTTGACTGTCTCCGCACGTAGGCGATGCACTATAGGTGCTATAGAGGGTGTCCACAGCCTTTTGGGATTTGCGGGTCTTCTCTCTTCCTGTCTCCGAAGTTGAGGACAACATTTTCGGAGAGGTCTTCTTCTCGCTTGTGCTTCGTGGGTTCGGGCTTTGGAGGTTTTAGGCCTTGGCCCTTGCGGCTTCGGGGCTTGCGGCTTGGAAGACTGGCAAAAACTTGCGGTACCCTCAGAACGCACCTCCAAATCCTGCCCATGGAAACATCCATGCGAAAACGATGAGACGACAACTCCAAGCACCCGATAACGGAACGAAAGGCACAAGCACAGAACAAAGCAGCACACGCAACAAGGCAGTCTCCAGTCCTGGGGCATCGGGTCGAGAAGGAACTCTTCGGAACTGACCGGAACTCGGCTCTCCTGGATGTCCCAAAAAACTAGACATCATCGGACACACTGTGGGATATTCTGACGAGGCCTTCTACCAGGTCCGCGTGTACTTACTTGCACTGCGGGGGACACCACGGCAAGGCTGTAAGCTTGGCTGAGCGGCTTAGCGGCTCTTTAGTGCTTAGGGTTTGGAATATATCCCAAGACCGCCAGTCCTCGGCGAATGGATCGAAGATGGGCTTCCGGGCATGAGCCGAAACCGTGTTGCTTCTGGTGTCCCAGATGCTAGACTCGTGCTGTGGCGTCGTCACCGAGTCTCCTGTCAACTCAGACTCCCTTTCGGCTGTGCTGGTGCTGCGTGTCTGCGGCTGAGACATGTCTGGATCGGCTTTCCTGCCAGCTGCGCTTGTAGCTTTTGTCTCTTGCTGAGACCTTTCTACGTGAGAACTCTCGTTCTTCAGATCCGCCTGCCTTTCATCCGGAACGCTTGGCTGCGGCCTGGCCTCCTCTCTGCTTCTGCTGTCGTGCGTGCTTGGCTCCTCTTCCTGTGCGGCACTGCCCAGGCCATCCTTTGCTTCTTGGCAAATCTTGGCTGCGGCCTTTGAGCCGTACTTCGATGCCTCCTCTTCGGACAGCTCTTTGCCGGAGAAACGGACGTTGGTGAGGAAGTGAAACCAGCCCTCCGGGACGCGCTTGTTCACCACTATGGCCTTCAGCTGGGCCCGCGTGATGCCTTTGTAAAGGTTTGCGCGAGTAAAGAGATCTCCCGCACCTCGGCGAATCGGGGCATCCAGCCCGATACAGATGACGATGAGCTTCTCCAGGCCATCTGTGACGCTCACCGTGTCCAGGACGATGTGCTCCAACCGTTGCTCGGACTTCTGCACAGGCTGACTGCCGAGGGTCCGAAACAGCTCCGGCAGGGAGCGCAAGGATTCTTTGAACGACACGAAGTGAAGGTGGCGATCTGGAAGCTTGCTCTTCAAGACAGGCGCCAGGGCCGTCTTCAATTGCATCAGAAACTCCTCATCCGGGACTAGCAGCGCGAGTCGTTGGTGGAGACTGATGTTGGGATACGCATCTGCAACGTGCGCAATGGCATCTGCGACGTGCGTGGCGTAGAGCTTAAACTCGTCTTTGGCGTCCGAACCATCGAAGAGAAAGGACTTCAAGGGCGGCCCATCTGTGCCGGTGGATGTGACCGCCCCAGTGTCAGATCGAAAGGATCTTGCGCCCAGCACGATCTGCCTCGTGCTTCGGACGACCTCTCTTAGGTTGGCTCGGTGCATCTCGGGGAATCTGGTGCTCACGGCTGCAGCCTGCGATTCGTCCGAGAGAAGCAGCCTCCTGCGGCTCTTGAGATCTGCCAGAATGCCCTGGTCCACACCCTCTGCGTACAGGTTGTGGGCCTCGTCCATGACTGTGAGCCCAAACGTGTCGATGCTGCCCGCAACTTCCAGGGTGATGCGCCGATCCTTCTCGTCCAGTCTAGGTGAAAGCAGTGCTTGGTAAGGGCTGTGCAGGACCACCATGCGCTGTAGAAGCTCATTGATCTCGCTCACAAACCGGGACTCCGCTTGCGACGCCAGTCGTACAATCATCCATTGTATGAAATAGTAGGCGAGCTCAACAGTAGGAGCCACATAGAGTACATGGGCAGGAGCCTTTTCTGTCTCTTCCGTGAGAGCGTCGATGACACGCTGCACTGCAACGAAAGTCTTGCCGGCCCCCGCCGGGGCCGACAAGTGCACCTCATCAAACCGTTGGATGTCCTGAAGATGCTTTTTCTGGTGTGGTGTGAGGTCCTTGAAGGCCAGCAACGTGTGCTCGTAGAACTCCAGGAAACTGGCGCTGTCCATTTCAACCCGCCAGCTCCGGTCGGACAGACCTCTATTGATCTCCTCCTCTAGATCGCCACTGAAGAACCGATCCCTGAGATGATGCAGGGACCCGATGGTGGGCACACCAAGCTTGATCATCAAGGATGAAAGGCCAGAGCCGAGTCGCGCCGCGCGGATGTCGAGCACGCTCGTGCGCTTCAGGCGCTCAATGAAGATCTCCCGGAGCTTTAAGTGACCTTAGCTCGACGGGATGTCTGGAGTCAGAGGAGAATCAGTGCACAACTAGTTCGGGGTGTGCAGACAAGAAGGCAGGAAAGCGGGGAGCCACTAAAGCTTGACTTAAGTTAAGCCCCCTGCCAAAGTGGTCCAACAACTCCTTTGTGGCCACGGCTGTGTCGCAGAGGAAGGATGAATGAAAAGTGCCCTCGCTGTGCTCGCATCGAATGGTCCAGCGTGCCTCCACGTTGGCTGAACCATCCTCTTGCCTTGTTCTCTTCTCTTTCACGACTCCTCGGCGCCATGACTTCGTCACCTCGCACCATGCATCCACCGGATAACCTTCTGGAAAATCCTGTGTGAGAGCATGCCCGTCGTCTACGCGATGGAATTGCTGTTCCTCCTCTCCTCTGTGAATTCTTGCAACCGCTTCATGGACATATTCAAGATATCTCTTGTGCCAGCTGCAGCCCCAAACCATCCTTTGGCCGTAAAGCTTGTAGCAACAGCACTTGCCTTCGTTCTCGGGATCCACATCGTGCTTGCGATGGCCTAAGCTAGCAGCATGAATCACGTTGTGTCTACTCGTTCTGTGACTGGCCCATGGGTCTCTCTCCCGTGGGAGGAAAACAGCCCGCAAGCAGTTCCGGGCGGCGGAAGTGGAGGTCGACAACAGCTACGAGCACGGTGATATACATTTTCCCAACGGCTAGACAAGTTTATAAACGGTGCTGGATACTCATCTTTTGCTAGTACGTTTGTTTCTACCAACGAAAACAAGCCAGTCTGAGAATTCCACATGACGTTTGTTTGTGCACCAGCAGGACAATGGCATTGCTGCCCTCTAACACATGCTGGCTGGGGTTCCAGGTGGATGGAGGCCTTCGAAATATACAAGAGGCCTTCGAAATATAGGTAAGTCGCCTTACTCCTACATGCTCAGCCCAGTCCTTGCAGATGCCCTAGGGTGCCATTTGCATGATGTCAGAGACTGAGCTGAACACCGGCAGATCGCACTTTCGGCGTCAAGTGCAGCATCTCCACGAAGTACCAAACCTCCTGCAAGAGCAGTGATCAAGTTTCATCTGTGCAGCCCTTTGAGCCTCGGCTGAAGTCACTGTCTCTCCCTGGCCCTTTCTGGTTTTGACAGCTTCCTAGCACGCGTCCAACCGCATTTTGTCCACTAGCTACTTGCCTCGCATTGCATTTGGCCAAATTCAACATCCATCTCTACCTCCATCCGACAAAACGTTGCTCGCTGACCAGGTGAAAACTTACATACAGACGCTGGCTGCAGCAGCACCACCGGTCCTCCTGCAGCTGCTTCTGGCTCTCCTTCAGCTTTGATTTCATCTGTTTCAGAATGTCATCCCGCAGCTTTGCTTTTCTTGCCTCCTGCAAAATCCACTTCAGTTCCTCCTCCCTCTGCAACGCCAGCTGAATGTCGGATGCGCAATGCCACCTCTGGAAAAGCTGAAGTCTGTCACGACCCTTCTGGTTGCCTTTGCTTGGGGCGAAGTCCTGTATGCAACTTGCGAAATGTCTCTCGAAGTCCAGGTTCGTTTCTGCCAGGTCCAGTTCTCTCTCCACTGCCCATTGAGTCAGCCGGCTCTGTGGGTCGAACCTGATCGGGATCTTCCAGCGCTTGTCCACAATCGGCCTGATGCGTCGCGAAGCCTCCGCACACTTGATGAGCCACTCGACTCTCTCGCAGAACCTAAGATCGCAATCTTTCGGCTGATGAGCTCCTTCTCCGGTCAGGATAGATCCGACGATGTCGCTGCGCTCGATCAGCATCTGCACTGATGGTCCTGGTGAAGAGGTCTGCGCCTGCCAAGCACTTGTCAGCCCCGAGGGCTATATCATGCTCGTGGTGACGCCAGGGCATGTGCACAAAACAAATTCCGTTGCAATACTTTGTGGCCATCACAACTTCCACCTGCAAGAGACATACTGAAACAATTGCAATTGAATGCCGGCTGTTGGCGTCCATTGCGTAGGACGGCATAGGATATAGCAGCAACTAGGAGGGGATGTGGCGACCACATGCATACAAGTACCACCAACACACACACACACACACACACACACACACACACACACACACACACACACACATTGTTAACATCCGCAAGCACTTGCTTCGAGTTCCTGTGAAAGCAAGTTCGGGGTAAGAGTGCTTATGGGTTGTGCAACAGGGCGCGCAAACGACATAAAAGAAAAGCCCTTCAATGTGTCTAGCAAGGCCAGGGTCCTTCAAAGCCATGGCCCTCAGGTAGAAGGACCAGGCATCTTTGTGCTTGCCCGAGTCGAGGAATTGCTTGTAAGCCCGTTGGACTTCGTGCTCCTCGCATGAGCAGGCCCAACCAAGATCGCGAGCACAAGGGCAGACGAGATAGCTGTTTCATGTTGTTGCCTGCACTTTAGTTCCAGATATTTCTGCACTCAGCCCTGACTCAAGCTGATTTGAATACGCCCGTCCTGTCTCGGCAAACTACCTGGGCATCATTTGGGGACAGGAAGCATCGACCCTTTGAATGTTGACTCCCCGCTGCTTTGCTGCTTTGGGGTTTGAGTTTGGATGGGTTTGGGGGTCTGTCGGCTCAACCACACGCAAACAAAAACTGACCGGTCATGGTGCAAACCTCCGTTTCCAAGTCTTGCATGCACAGCAGCCGACGAATCACCTGGAAGCTCAATGACGTTCCGCGCTCAAACTGAAGCGCTTCCGCTAACTCCTCCATGTTCTCCTGCTCCCGCTTGCAGTTGGGATTATTGCCGTCGGTGATCATTAGGCTCTGGAGGGAGATGGCACCCTCTCGCTTCGTCTGGAGGGCGTCGTCCAGAGCTTGCAGCACTCGGTTCTGCCAATGGCCGAACCAGTCTTCGCCTTCTGTGTCCTCCATGAAGTCGCCCTTTCTACCAAAGGCCCTCCTGATATCCAACTCGCTGCACAAGGCCTCGACGTGGTTGTAGAGGTCTGACGGGCAAGACGTGCAAACGCGGATGCAGTTGTCGACCGTTTCGGAGGCGATCAGGACCTTCCCGATGGGAGGCAATCGGTCCTGGCAATGCTCGGAAACATTGGCAAGGACGAAGCAAGTCTTAGGTCCGTGGGCAGTCGATCTCACGCTAGCACGACCCGGCAAGCGCATATCATAAGACCTCAGGTTTCCAGGCAACACGAGGAAAGCAAGACCTGACGGGTCCGAGTACATCATGTACGTAGTACGGAAGCCGGGAACAAGCTTCGATCCAAGGATGAAGGAACCAAAACCGGTCAAACCAACTCTGTGCACATGGCTGCTGCGGGCCTGGGGGCATGTTGGAGACGATGCTTGGTCCTGCAAGCAGGACTCAACAACTTCTCTTTAAACATGACTGGCTCGCGGGGCATGTGGTCTACCGAGACTTCACACGCGCGAGCTTGATGCAACACGGCAAAAACTCCCTAAAACATCCCCAAGCATCCCAAAACCCACACAACAACCCAAACTGCAACTCGCTGACTCCCTTCGGCTGTTCAGCCATGCTTCACCGGCACGTGTGCACACCTATGCGCACTTAAGCGCACGACCCCGGCCTCAGGCCTCCGTGGGTGCCCAAGCTTTTCTTTCCATTATCGCAGCTCCAGGGTTCTGACTTTCAGCCGCACGAAAAAATGCGAATCCCCTGATCTCCATATACTTGGAACAGGAACCTGCTATTTGACAAGATCTCTGCTCCCCGGTTCCCCTATGTTCCCCTGTCGTTGGTGGCAACAGGGCCTCGGCATCGGCTTGGGAAGCGTCGGTCGAAGCATTCTCTGCCTGAGTCCCAGAGCTTGGCTGGGCCCCCGGGCCCTCGGGCTCTCAAATTTGGGAGGCATCTATGTACTCCATACTATGTAACTCTTACATCACCTATGCAGGCGGCAACGTATTCACACCGAAAGCTTGGCCAACAAGAGTACAAGCAGCAGCCTCAGCTCTCGCACACTCCACCTGCCTTGGCCCTGAAGAGCGCATGCGCGGGAGACCCTCGCAAGATTGGCGCGGAGGCGCTCGGCGGGATGTGGGCACCTGTACGCTTTGAACTCTTGGACACTTTTTAGTCGAGCCCGGAGTTCTGGGGGGCACACTATGATGAGAACACACATTTTAGTGGGAGGAAATGCTCCAGCTTGAGGCGAAAGCTACCGCAGCGATGCCTCCATGGCCGGACATTGCACGCCTGTGAGGAGGGGGAGCGGGAGTTCAAAGGTCCCCCAAGGAGAAGCAGCTCTTTCCGGGAATCGCATACCGCCAACACCTCAACCCTTAACCATAATCCCGAGGTGTGAAAGGCTGAAGGTCCAGTTGCAGTTTAGGGGGGCCGAAGGGGGGGTTCCGGGCCGTCTAGGGCTGTGGGGTCGACATACCCAAACCTTGCCTGCCGTCACACCGCCACAGGCAGGGGGCCGGCTGCCATGGCCGCAACGAACCCCCGAGCCCGCGTTCTTTGACAGGGGCTCGGAGCTCGGGAGCGTTTTTGGGGAAACTTTTTCCTACGCTTCATCAGAGCTGTCGGGGTGTACGAAGGCGCTTACAGGGATTCGGCATTGATCAGTGGATGCAATTAATGTGGGCACTTCGTACGTCACAGCAAGTGCCTAACTTTCGCGGCTTCTGATGCGCAAAGGTGACAGTGTGCGGGATACCAACACCTCGCAGGACGCTCGACCGTCCAGCTCACAGTGTAGAGGTCTTATAAGAGGCTGTCTTCCGAGCATGTCTTCCCGTCTCCGCAGAACCCCTCCACCCTTGCTTGAGACAAGTATGGCACACATGGCACACGAGCGAAGGATCGCACAACTTTCAGCAGCGCTCTCTCCTGCAAAGCCTCGGGGATCCTCGGGATGTCGGACTTGGGGATGCCCCCGCTCGTCAATGTGTTTGCCCCTCTTTCAGGGGGTGGATCTCGGGGTTTGCTGATGTTTCTTTAACGGGGGGTGCCAGGTGTGCGCCACGCACAGCCCCCAGAAGCGCGAGCCCTCGCTGCGAATGCCGCTGCGATCCGTTCTGTCGCCGACTCGTGGGTGCTGCTGGGACTCTTCAGGGCTCTCCCGGTGCCCTCCTCCTGCTTTCAGGCACGACATGGGCTTTTAGGAGCAAGAGACAAGTGAGGCTTATTCACAGCACAGGCTACTTTCCATTCCTTTCTCTCTCTCTGCACTTTCAGGCTCAGAACGAAGGGTAAACACCCTCGAAAGCTTGTGAGACTGTCACGGGATGTCCACGCATCCATTCAGAGACCTGATCCCTCCGGGACAGGCGTGCGCCGCGTAGAGCGTGAAGCACGCGATGAACAAGGCGCCCGCCATCAAGAACACGGCAAGGCCCACGAGCATGGCATGGCATCCGACCACCTTTAGGCCGGCCTCGAATTCTTCCTCCCTCCCGGCCCTGTCCACTTCGTTGTTCTCGGCCCTTGTCCTGAAAGCCATGTCCTCCATGAGCCTGCGGACCTGGAAGAACCACAGCATCTCCTTCATCTTCCCGAGGCCCATGAGGAAGCTCAGGGCCAGGGACAGCGCCGGGAGCAGCGCCAGCTCGCGCGCCTCACACAGACACACTCGCACGCGCATCGCGCGCAGGGTCCGCGCCGCTGCACATGTCGGGAACGATATGCTGGGAAAGAGGGTGGAAAAAACACAAAAACAACAGCGAGCGCCCAGCTAAGAGGCCCAGAGTCAACTGGGTCTGCCAAGGTCTGGCAAAAAGATCAAAAACTCTTCAAACTGGATGCCAGCGAAGGCTTCTTGGATCGATTTCTTTCCCGAGTTTTGCGAACAGGGCAAAGCTCGGTTCGTGCATATTCGTAGGGTCTACCCAACACGCATCCCAACTTCTGCTCCGCCCTCCAACGTGAAGGCGCATCGGTACTTCGGGGAAAACGGGCGGTCGCCGCCGTCTTCTGACTTCTGAAAACCAGTCGCGCCTGGTGGGTGTTGATTGCCAACGTCCATGACTGCAGCACCACTTGCACGCCATCCCTCGGCCAGAAGCGTGGAGCTTTGGCTAGGGCACGGTTTATGCACGCTGCATGTTTCAGGTGCAGTCAAGGCTCTCCAGAAGGTACGAGAAGTAGACGCGCCGCACATACTTTTGAGATAGGGGTAGGCCGTACCCCATGATCCTGCCGAAGGCGATTTGCAGACTCCAGATTTAAAATGACATGCGATGTGCCACCTCTTGCTGCATGCCTGAAACCCAGTCCTGTATCCTTTCTTCCTGTAAACGTTCTTCTTCATCTGGAGGACGTACAGCTTGTTGGACATCTGGACTACGGACGAGAACCCTGCAGATTCACCGAGTTGGAAGCACACGTCGTCGTTGAACAACGTGTCCTGCACAACGCTCTGAGCTGAGAAGAGGGTTCCCCCGGTTCACACCCTCTAGAAACCACACCTTAATGTGAAGGAGTCTGCCCCCCTTGACCAAGCAAGTTCTTAAGTTGACGCTTGCTCGGCAACACTCCCAGTAGCTTTTTTTTTTGGGCCTCCCCCCTTCTGAAAAGCCCTGTTTTTGCGCAGCCCAATTTTGCAGCAGTCGCTACAAGGAATGTTGAACATAGCCTTGCCTCCATCAGTGTCTTTTGTGGTCCGAGCAACCCCTGCGTCTGAACAACCTACGAAAGGGTCATGTGCGCTTCGGCACGGCCCAATTCTCCGAGCAACGTGGCATCGTGGAGGCTGTATATGATGCTGCATGGCACACTTTTTTGACATGGGCCTTGTCACTGCAGGACAGCAGGGGCGGCGACCGGCCGTCGTCACCTCTGTCGCCGGCCCCCTTCTTCCGGACCATGGTGGCCTCAAGCCGCCACGCATCTTGCGCGGGCTTACAAGCTATAAACAAGTATATGTATATATATATATATACATACATACATACATATATATATATACATACATACAACATATATATATATATATATACGTATATGGGTTTTACTATAGGGTGTTTAGGGAGCCCCTGGAGACTCTGCACCGTTGTTTTCAGCAGCCAGCCCGAGTGGCGCAGGCCACGACAAGGTGCAAGAGCATCAAGGTCCAGGATGCCGAGATCAGCACGTCCAGGGGAACCACGAAGGGCAGCGAGCTGAAGATGCTCTGCCTCCACAGGATCCCCACATGGATAAGTTAAGTGGAACTGCAAGCAACGTTGCTCTTTTTAAAGAACCTCCCCCAACCGAACACACAGTTGACAAGCCAATGTGTTATCAATCACTTGCCCAGGGTGGGGGGCCACCAGCATACCCGTAACAGCACATGCAATGTTTCATATACTCCAGATCTCCAGCCGAAGCAGACAGCAAAGGGTTTGGGAGTAGGATGGAGTAGGTGCTCCAGGATCAACTGCCTCTCTTTTCGGGGCGCATCCCCTGTTGGTGGGGCCAGAGCACCGGTGCCTTTTCCCTGTTCTGTTTTGTTGGCTTGGGGGGGGGGGGGGGGAGGGGGGTAGGGGGGGAGGGGGGGGGGGAGGGGAGGGGGGGAGGGGGGAGGGGGGAGGGGGGGGGCCAGGCAGTGCCCCCCCACTGCCCCCGGCCCCCACGCTTTGGATGTGCGTGTGAGCGTCACGGTGCCACCGCGATTCCACAATACAAGACCAAGAAGATGAAGAGGGAGGAGGCCTCCACCAGAAGTCCCAAATCTCTTGCGTCCTTCCATGTGAGCAGGCATTTGTGCCTCAAGGGGCCACTCCGGGAACGAAGGCATCACTAGACTAAGGCAAACTTCGGCTGCGAGTAGCGTCTCAGAGCCTCGCTCTACTGACATTTGCAGGCTGCACACGGAGACACTGCAAGAGGCTTTTGTGTTTTCACACGTTTCCCGCCTCCCAGGCCCATGGTGCTGGCAAAGTAGGTGTCGGTGAAGACGTCCACGGAGCTCATGACCAAAAGCAGCTTCTGAGCGCGAAGCCACAAGGTCTCCGAGGATGGCAAGAGGCCCATGAGCGAGAAGCCGTCTTCGAGGCGGTGCAGGTCCATGTGGCGCTTGTAGCATGGCAGCAGCACTTTCACGGCCTCCTCTTCCTCAGCTGGGCCCACAGCAGCCTTCCAAACTCCCCAAGGCCCCCAACTTGCCTCACCACTCCTATACCCCCTCCAACTGCCTTGCGTTCCCGCCTGTTGTCGCCTAACCCTGTGCGGAAAAGCTGGGCCCTTCAAATGTTGAGAACATGCAAGCTCACAAAAAAAGAGAGAGAAAAAGTGGTGCCGAGAAGGCTCTGCCCAGAGCTGATGAAGCAGCACCGGCACGAAGAAGGCGAGCCAAACCCAGTTCGGCGGCATGGGGTAGGTGCTGCCATCCACGCAGGACCTCGCGGGGCAGGGGGGGCCCCCGAGATTCTGGTTCAGGGCGACAATCCGACAGCTGCCACTTGTGTGCTTTCTTGGAGGAAGTGTCTTGCAGATTCTTGCAGCATCATGCAACATCCCTTGTCTCGGCCTGGTGCGGTAGATTGCGACGAAGAAGGCCACCGAGCACAGGAGAAGAAGGGCGTTCGTGCGCCAGGGGACGGGAGGCAGGGGCCCACCTCCACAAGCCCAAGCTGCGCCGACACTTTTTGATTAAAGAAGCTCTCTTAAGAGTTCGGCTCGTCATCAAAAAGAAGTGAGGACTGAAATTGAGCTGAGGGTCCTGCTCGGACACGTTCAACGCCTGAACGTGTAATGTTCACTGCTGCAAGTTGTGGAGTGCTGACAAAATGCCCAGCAGGAGATCACGACGCTGATCATGTCAACACAAACGTTCTTTGCAGTGGCATCGGTATCTGAAACTCGGAACGATTTAAGAAGAGAACCGAAGCTAGGGCGGGAGCTTTGTCATCCATCGCATGCAGCTCAAGCTCGTCCTCCGTGTCCAAGAGGAGGTACTTCTCCGAGGGCGCGCTGCAGGGCTCGGCGACGGAGGTCTCCGAAGGCTGCACCGAAGCCGACCTGGCTCGCAGGCTGCGTGTCCCTATAGCCTAACGGCCTATAGGCTATAGGCAATGCATATAAGGTGTGTCACACAGTCCATAGTTTGCAGCCATGCGGAAAGCCAAAAAAAGAAAGCACTCAATAAGTACTACTCCCCTCCCTTTTGAGCCCTTTGGCGGGGAGGGGGGCCCAACCTGGAAGACGTGGAAGTGTCCATGGCTTGGTTCGGCTGCTGAGCTCGCCGGCTCCGGCGTCAACCATGGCCGCAAGAGCCCAGCTCCATAGAATTCTACAAGCCCCCTTCACTGAATCCTGAAGCCCAAGCCCTGTCAGTCCTAAGCCCTCTAACGTTCAACCAATCTCAATATTAAAGCCGGAAGCCCAACCCTAAAAACATAGAAGATCTCCCTAAGGCTTGTGTTGTCTTTAGTTTCGTGCCTTTGCCCTGGGATGCCCCGGCGTCTAGGACCGGCTGATGGGAGGTTTTTCTTCCTGCGTGGAGCCACAGCAAATGCAGAGCTGCCTCCGACTGCTGAAAGGGGGAGGGAGCACAGAATCCCCTGAGATAAACAGGGGGGCTTAAGGGGCTTAGGGGGGAGAGGGTCTTGGACTTCGAGCTTTGACGGTTTAAGCGCTCCCCAAACCCAGCAGCCCACATCTCAGCGAGCATCTGGAGGAGTCCTCTGCGGGCTTGGGGCCTCCAACTTTCTACGCTCCATCAGAGGGACCATGTCCTTTTGGGCTCCTGGACTGCACGCTTTCAAGCCCGGGCCCGGAAAGCAATCTTTCAACGCTGTTCTCGGACGGCTTGATACTTGCAGAAAAATAATCAGATGCTCCTGGGCGTTTATTGCCAACTGCTGCGTGGCACGTGCGACGTGCGGCACTTGAGCTTTTCGGGGTGGAGGTGGCTTCGCCGTTCGGCCCATCAAGTTCGGATGGCGCATGGCACGGTGGTCCCGAGTCTTCAGACTTCAGGTGACATCGAAAGTTCCCAGCTGAAATCCGAGAGATCGCACAAAAAGCTGAAAAACATAGCCCAAAATTGAGATGCGGAGCAATGCTCACAAAGCACCTGCTGCCCCTGTGGGTCTGTCTCTGCATGCTACACGTTGTTGATTCGCTGTGCACCGAATCCAACTATGCAGCAGCTTTGCCGTTTACTGCGGCGCGGCAAGGCTCTCAGATGTACTCCCTCTGAAATTTCGCTGCCGCTGGAGGCTATCCACAACCATCCGCGACGCCGAGAGCCTGAAAGAGGCTGTAAGCATTGGAAGCAGCCTAAGCAGCCTGGGGGCTGCATCCACCAAAGAGTGCCAGCCTGCGCATACTCCAACCCGCAAGCAGAGACTCAAATGGCGAGGTCGCCAAACCGATGATGCAGGCTGCCTTGATTCACGACCAGTGCGAGCCCACTACCACGCAGTCCTCGTCTCGGACATATGCCCTGGAGCTGGACTACGTGGAGCTGGGGTCACATGGGCGGTATTCGGTCTGGAGGTTCTTGGAGTTCAAGTTGGGTGTGATGCCGGTTTTCCAGACACCGCAGAAGAGCCCTGTGGCATCCGAGTCTTCCGCATACCGCTCGTCGCCGCCGTTGAAGATCCGGGTGTAGTAATGCCCAGTCCTGGCCCGGACGTCGGCGGCCGTGGCCACCACGCGGTGCTCCAGAAAGCAGACCCCCCCCCTCCACCTTCCCAACCTTCCGAAACCCGCCATCCAACCCAAACAACCCTAAACCCTAAACCTCAGCGGCAGCCTCTTTCGAGGCGGACCCCCCTTCGCTCCTCTGGGAGAGCCCAGAATCGCAGCTGCACGTCCCCGCCGCCATGATGGCGGTGGCCAGCCAGGTTTGGAGATCTGCTTCGAAGGTCTCGGGCAAATTGACCTGTCAAGGGATGTCTGCGGGTTATGAGGGCCCGACGTCTACATTCATGCAGCGCAACCGCTCAGTTCGACTTAGAGAGCCTCGGCAAGGGTCCGCCATTGCTGACAAATAGATCTGCTGTGCTCATAAAGGTTGCTGTTCTTCTTGACCTCCAAGGGCTCTCCGACGTACCAGCTTCTGCGGGTAGTTCGAAAGCCCTCCAAGGTCACAAGCCGGGTACGAGAAGACGCCGTCCTTCAGACCCCTCTTCACGTAATCCAGAGTGTGCGAGCCTACATGGAACATCATCAGCGGCTCCTTTCCAGGGAGATCCTCTGACATGGTTCCGCCAGCGGCATCCAGTGCATAGAGGATGAACTTCCGCTTCTGCAGCACCGCCGGGGCCCCAGTTTGGGGAAACAGCTCAATGCAGCGGCGGCCCTCTTCATAGAAAGCGGCCACCACCTCTGTCTGCCACTCCTGGTAGGCGGCTTTGTCGATGACGGCCCCAGACGGCAGCCCTTCACCTGCTCAGCATTCTTCACACTTGTGATACGTGATTGTTGTGCTTGGGGGGGTGTGACCCATAGCTTAGTCACAACAACAAGTTCGATGTTCCAGGCGTGGCCTCTGAGGGCCATGGCGATTGCTGAGCCCCACTTTCTCACATGGCGGCAAGCTGAGGCTTCATGCTTGAGGACGACCTGGGGGTTGAGGAAGTCGCCGACAGCTCCAACATCTCTCCGGGGTGCGTTTCGGTGGAAGATGAAACTGGGCAACGAGCTAAGACTGAATCTAAAATGCTGGATAGAGCTCAGAACCCCGGATTTGAGGCAAGGCGGCTTCAGCCAGTGGCTCGGGCTTCCGGTGCGACAGCAAAGCCCACACAACCCCAGTGCGTTGAGAGTGTGTCGGACCCACGGAGCTGTACGGCCGAAGGGCTGTTTGCAGTTGGAAGCGATGCTTAACGGCTTTATAAGGCTTAAAGATTGTTCAGTCGATCCTGCGTCGACCATTACCTTCTAAAATATTCCCCAATTCAACCACCACTGTGGAGCTCCGACTGCTCAACAAGCTGCCTAAGTCTACGTAGCCCGAACCCCATGCGTGGGTTCCAAGGTCGTCTCGGTCGCGATTTTGCTGCATACCGGTCGAAGAATGCGGCCTGGCACTGTGCTTTGCTGATGTAGGTGATGCTGTGGCTGTTTGGTCAGCAAGTTGTTTGGAGAACCCTGCGCGCCCTGCCTTTTTTGGCAGCTGCTTTGCAGTCCGGCCATTCCTTTGTGCAACACGAGGCCTGACGAAACGTGCCCTGCTTTTCTTGCAGGGTCTGATATCCAAGGTCTGGGCAGGTCCGCATGTGGAATCACAGACAGCAACCTGAATCCGAACCACCCAAATTGGCAAGTGCAAGTAGCCACAGATGGAGCTATAGATGACACATGCCAAGCCCGACTCAAGCACGCTTTGCAGGGGCAGCGCTGCCAATTCACGCACGCCGGAAAAGTCTCTCTGGGACGCCCTCTTGTTTTAGAAGAGCTGGCCACACGCCGTCGCTCAGCTGCTCCCACGCTTCGGCGGGGATGCGGTCGCAATATTTCATGTTGAGCTCCTGGCGCTCGGGGGCAAAAGAAAGCGAGAAGCTCCACCAACTCCCCCCAGAGGAGCAGCGGCCCCCAGGTTCCAAGGGGCTGGGAGGCGCTTTTGTACGAAACGGCTCTTAAAGAGGGCACCCCCCCCCCACACCGTGACAACAAGCGGACCACAACTCATCGCCTCAAAGCCTCTTAACTCGAGACGGGCTCAACTACGGAAGGTCTCACTTGGAATTGAGTTTCTTTTACTAGTCAAGGTTCGAGGAGATCTTCCGTGTTTAGTGAAAATTGGCGGTGCTGCAGTGCTTCGACTTCGTCATGAACGTGTAGTTTCCATTGCCAAAATCGAAAACATTCCTCTGTGTGCCCCGCTTAAGCCGCTAAAGGGCCTGATCGGCGCAAGTCGAGTTAAGGGCCGAGTCTGAATCCAAAGGCCTGAACAAGACCTTCGCCGTGTTGTGTCCTGAAGGGCGCTGCACCGCGCCAACGCGGCGAGGAGGATATCGGCCCCGTCTACGCCCTGGGAGCCTGGGCCGAAACACCTGGGCCGGCGGTTCTTCCAGGCGGGAAACGCCCCATTGTGGAGGGGGGACAGCCCACACGGCGCCACCTCTACGCATACAGAAAGCAGGGAAGCCGAAAAAACATCCCCGCTCTTCCGAGGCACCGGAAGAAGTCGGCCTTCTGCAGCTTCTCCCAGCGCGCGTCCCGGAGCTGCCGCCAGGCCTCCGCGGGGACTTTGAAGCAGAAGTTCATGCCCAGCTCCTGGCGGGTTTTCCGGGTGCCCCACGGAGGTGCATGCGGGGGGGAATGGGTCGCGCAGGTCTCGTCTCCGGGGGTGGCGCTCTGAGTCGGCGAGGGCTCTAGTTTTGAGGGGAAAAAGCGGGTCGAAGATGGTTCTACTACAGAAGACTTAAAAGCATAGCGGCCTCATGAGGAAGAAACCATCAAACCCTCCAAAAAAGCCGAGGGGGAATCTCCCTCCATCGCCCCAAAGGCCTGAAAAGCCTGGAGGGAGTTCTGTGAGAAGAGCTGAGGGTGAGGAGGCTGAATCCACAAAGCGTTGTAACCGAGCTCGGGAGTTTAATGCGGGTTGCAGATGAGGCGCGCCACCGTGGATGGTTCAAGGGATTCGTGCTGAGGGTTGAGGGTTGAGGGTTTTAGGGTAAGGAGCAGGCTTCGTCTCAAAACGACCCTCCGATTGATTCCGATGCCCTACACAATAAACGCTATGCCCCTCCTAACTCGCCCTAAAGCCCCCTAACCCCATAAACCCGTAACCGTATAGCCACATAAACCAAAACTCTCAACCGTAAACCCTATAAGCATGTCACAGGAACTTCTTCAACCTCCGGCTCAGGGTTTTAGGGTTTAGGGGTTCAGGGTTTAGGGTTTTAGGCTTTAGGGTTTTAGGGTTTAGGGTTTTAGGGTTTTAGGGTTTTAGGGTTTTAGGGCTTTAGGGTTTTAGGGTTTAGGGTTTTAGGGTTTTAGGGTTTTAGGGTTTTAGGGTTTTAGGGTTTTAGGGTTTTAGGGTTTTAGGGTTTTAGGGTTTAGGGTTTTAGGGTTTTAGGGTTTTAGGGTTTTAGGGCCTTAGGGTTTTAGGGTTTTAGGGTTTTAGGAGGTTTTAGGGTTTTTGGGAGGTTTTAGGGTTTTAGGAGGTTTTAGGGTTTTAGGGTTTAGGATCTTCATCACGATGCGAGTTGCGATTCTATAGGGCCGGGCTTTAGATCGTCGCATTAGATGTCGCTCATGACAACCCCGAGTTTCCTTGCACTACAGGCCCGAGAGACATCCAGCAGCATCACTAAGATTTTGGAAGTACCCTCTCGCCTCTCCTTCAAGAACAACCTAGGATTACCAATTCTTGTTTCGAACTTGGACCAGGGCCCTTTCGGGACCCTAGAGCTGATATGTTTTAGAAATCTGGGCATGCAGGGCATTATGTCATCAGGACCTTGGGCCTCCCTTTGCTCGGCATGTGTCCTGGAGCTGGCTGCACCGTGCCAATGCAGCGAGGAGGATATCGGCCCCCTCTGCGCCCTGGGAGTCTTCGTTGAAACACCTGGGCCGGCGGTTCTTGCAGGTGGTAAACGCTCCATGTGGAGGGGGGACAGCCGACGGGGAAGCCGAAAAAACATCCCCCCCTTCCGAGGCACCACGAGAAGTCGGCCTTCTGCAGCTTCTCCCAGCGCGCGTCCCGGAGCTGCCGCCAGGCCTCCGCGGGGACTTTGTAGCAGAGCTGCATGTCCAGCTCCTGGCGGGTTTCCCGGGTGCCCCCACGGAGGTGCATGCGGGGGGGGAATGGGTCGCGCAGGTCTCGTCTCGGGGGTGGCGCTCTGAGTCGGCGAGGGCTCTAGTTTTGAGGGGAAAAAGCGGGTCGAAGATGGTTCTACTACAGAAGACTTAAAAGCGTAGCGGCCTCATGAGGAAGAAACCATCAAACCCTCCAAAAAAGCCGAGGGGGAATCCCCCTCCATCGCCCCAAAGGCCTGAAAAGCCTGGAGGGAGTTCTGTGAGAAGAGCTGAGGGTGAGGAGGCTGAATCCACAAAGCGTTGTAACCGAGCTCGGGAGTTTAATGCGGGTTGCAGATGAGGCGCGCCACCGTGGATGGTTCAAGGGATTCGTGCTGAGGGTTGAGGGTTGAGGGTTTTAGGGTAAGGAGCAGGCTTCGTCTCAAAACGACCCTCCGATTGATTCCGATGCCCTACACAATAAACGCTATGCCCCTCCTAACTCGCCCTAAAGCCCCCTAACCCCATAAACCCGTAACCGTATAGCCACATAAACCAAAACTCTCAACCGTAAACCCTATAAGCATGTCACAGGAACTTCTTCAACCTCCGGCTCAGGGTTTTAGGGTTTAGGGGTTCAGGGTTTAGGGTTTTAGGCTTTAGGGTTTTAGGGTTTAGGGTTTTAGGGTTTTAGGGTTTTAGGGTTTTAGGGCTTTAGGGTTTTAGGGTTTAGGGTTTTAGGGTTTTAGGGTTTTAGGGTTTTAGGGTTTTAGGGTTTTAGGGTTTTAGGGTTTTAGGGTTTTAGGGTTTAGGGTTTTAGGGTTTTAGGGTTTTAGGGTTTTAGGGCCTTAGGGTTTTAGGGTTTTAGGGTTTTAGGAGGTTTTAGGGTTTTTGGGAGGTTTTAGGGTTTTAGGAGGTTTTAGGGTTTTAGGGTTTAGGATCTTCATCACGATGCGAGTTGCGATTCTATAGGGCCGGGCTTTAGATCGTCGCATTAGATGTCGCTCATGACAACCCCGAGTTTCCTTGCACTACAGGCCCGAGAGACATCCAGCAGCATCACTAAGATTTTGGAAGTACCCTCTCGCCTCTCCTTCAAGAACAACCTAGGATTACCAATTCTTGTTTCGAACTTGGACCAGGGCCCTTTCGGGACCCTAGAGCTGATATGTTTTAGAAATCTGGGCATGCAGGGCATTATGTCATCAGGACCTTGGACCTCCCTTTGCTCGGCGCGTGTCCTGGAGCTGGCTGCACCGCGCCAATGCGGCGAGGAGGATATCGGCCCCCTCTGCGCCCTCAGAGCGGTTGTCGAAACACCTGGGCCGGCGGTTCTTCCAGGTGGGAAGGGCCCCATTGTGGAGGGGGGACAGCCGCAGCGGCGCCACCTCTACGCATACAGAAAGCAGGGAAGCCGAAAAAACATCCCCCCCTCTTCCGAGGCACCGGAAGAAGTCGGCCTTCTGCAGCTTCTCCCAGCGCGCGTCCCGGAGCTGCCGCCAGGCCTCCGCGGGGACTTTGAAGCAGAAGTTCATGCCCAGCTCCTGGCGGGTTTTCCGGGTGCCCCACGGAGGTGCATGCGGGGGGGGAATGGGTCGCGCAGGTCTCGTCTCCGGGGGTGGCGCTCTGAGTCGGCGAGGGCTCTAGTTTTGAGGGGAAAAAGGCGGGTCGAAGATGGTTCTACTACAGAAGACTGAAAAGCGTAGCGGCCTCATGATGCAGAAACCATCAAACCCTCCAAAAAAGCCGAGGGGGAATCCCCCCCCATCGCCCCAAAGGCCTGAAAAGCCTGGAGGGAGTTCTGTGAGAAGAGCTTAGGGTGCCGAGGCTGAATCCACAAAGCAGGTTGCAGATGAGGTGCGCCACCGTGGATGGTTTAAGGGATTCATGCTGAGGGTTGAGGGTTGAGGGTTGAGGGGCCCACCAAACTCTACAGAGAGCAGGCTTCGTCTCAAAACGATCCTCCGGTTGATTCCGATGGGGCATGGTTTTTTTTTTAATTCTCGGGGTGTTTTTTCTTATTCTCTGTCGGTGATGGTTTTTAATTTTATTCTGGCGGTTCTTTTTTCGGGCCTCAGGACACGCCACCCTAATCCGATGGTGTTTAATTTTATTCTACGGGTTCTTTTTCTTAGCCTGGGCAATCCGGGGAGGGGGGGGGGTTATAGGGTCCAAAAGGGGGTTTAGGGGTTTGGCAGATTGAGGAGTTCCGTTTCCACGATCCACCCTGCAGAACAAGGTAGCGTTGGGAATGTTGGGCAATTGGTTCAAGATGGAAACACTGGGAGTGGTAGTTGGTGGGGAATGGCGGAATGGCTGGTAGTGGCGGGAAGGGGGGGAAGGGTGGGAATGGCGGAAATGGCGAGCACATAGTGCTGGTACTGGCGGGCAAGGCGGGGAATGGTGAAAATGGTGAGGACTGGTAGAGAATGAATGGTGGAAATGGTGAAAATGGCGGGCTTTTGGTGGCGCGTAGTGATGCGTAGTGGTTGATAAGTTGTGGGATAGCGAGTAGGATGTTGGCGCCCCCCGCCCCATCGCATTGAGGGCCGTGCCTTGGCGCAAACATCAGGCTTTACAACCGAAGCTTGACAGCATAATTCGCACGCACCTACTTGCAAGCTTGACTGTGTTTTGCCGGCAGGCACACCGCGGGATGCGTCGCCCTGTACGGCCTGTCCCGCACCCCACGCAGGTCTGTCGCTACGGCAGAGGTTCTTGCCCTGTATGGCTTGTCCCAGGCCCGGTTTGGCGGCACTCAGCGCAGCGTGCTGAAGCTTATAGACCCTACCTACATGTAAGTCTGACTGTTGGGCTCTACGGCGTTGATGCATGTGCGCCCCGCTCCATACTGGCCCGGCGCTACTACCGCGGAGCTGGCATGGCTCGCTGGAAACCTTGAGACTGTGCAGTCGCCAGCGCGTTGTCTGGCAGAACGGCCTGCGTTGCGTGGCGTCGCCCTGTATGGCACTGTTTGCCACGCTTGTCCCGCCGAGAAAACTTCAAACTCGCCCTGCGTGGCGCTGTTTGCCGCGCATGTGTCCAGCTCCTTAAAATGCCTTCAAACTGTTACTTCAAACTGTGCAGTCGCGAGAGGCATGTCCGCTGCGCTGGCTTGACTATATAAGCTTTGGGACACTAGTCACTAGCCTTCAGGCGATCTTCTGCCAAACAGTGTGCACCCCGCGCCTTCCATATCTGCCAGACCGCGTCCAGCTGGCGTGGCTTACAGGCATCGCAAGTCACGCTCGCACGTGGGCAACATAATGGCAGCATGCATCATTACCCTGCGAGCATCACGAGTCACCAAGCTTGCACACGCTCTTTGCGGGGGGAGGGGGGGTTGGGACCCCATTTCCATGTTTCTTCTGACTCCCACTGACCACGGACCCAGCAGCCCTTCGCGAGTCGCTATCACCCACCTCCCACCCACCCTTATTTTGGCACCCCCGTACCCACTTGCCCACGTCACGCTCGTTTGAAGATGGCACACCGCGAACCACGCGCGCATCACGAGTCACGCCAGACACCGCCACCGCCCGCTCACCCGCCTGCGCACCGCCCGCTTGCTCCAGATCCAGCTCGCCACGCGCGACGCTCAGGGGCATTTGGCCCATCAACAACTTACGACCCCGCGGCCGAACCACCAGTGCACCGTTCCACCAGCCCCATCCGCTCCTTCACCTTCTCCACCCCCGTACCCACTTGCCCACATCTCGACCCAGCCAGAGGCCTCCCACCATACCCACTTGGCTGTTCACGCGGACCTATATGTCGCGCACGCTGTTTGATTTGAACGTGAGCATCGTGCATCACGCCAGACACCGCGGGCTGCGGCCCCCCCAAACCCCCCCCCCGCAAGCGCATCAGAGGGCAGGTGCGCGGCTGGGGTGTGCGTGCAGGGTCCTCCGAATCGGTGGGGCCAGGGTTGCAAGAGGATCTACCGGCGTTTGGCAGGGGCGCACCCCCCCCCGGCCTGTCGCCCCAACAGCGCCCGCTCACGGGGCCGGTAGATCCTCTTGCGACCCCACAGCCGAACCACCACCCACTTCCCCACCATTTCGACGGACTGCCCGCTCAGTAGAGTATCCTTTCTTCAGGGGTACAGCATGCCCACCATCGCATCCACGCGCCCTCTCCAGATCCAGCTCACCGCACTGTTCGTGCTTGGACAAGCCACACCCAGACGGGCCGCTCTCGGCTCTTCGATGCGGGAGATCCTCTTGCGACCCGCGGCCGAACAACACGCTGTTCAGATTCGGGGGCCCGCCGCAGAGAGCCCCCCACGAAAAGGACGTGCTGGCATTCTGCGCGCAGTCCTCCGAATCGGCGGGTTCAGCCGCGTGGTCGCAAGATCGAGTGGATGCCCAAGCTGCACGCGCTTTGCGGCGGGGCGCTCACCCGCTCACCCGCCCCCAGCTGCCAAGCTCATCCAGATGGGCTACTCTTGGCTCTTCAAGATCGGTAGATCCTCTTGCGACCCCACAGCCGAACCACCACCCACCTCCGCATCTTCGCAACCCACACTTCGACTACCCACTCAGACGGGGCCTCTGATTGTAGAGGATCCTTTCAGGGGTCCAACATGCCCACCTTGCTAATCCCCCCCCAATCGCATCCACACACGCCCTGTCCACATCCAGCTCACCACACTGTTCGTGCTTGGACAAGCCACACCTCCTCTTTTGCGACCCCGCAGCCGAACCCCACCTCCCCACCTTCATTTTCCCAACCCATATTTCGACAACCACTCAGACCGGGCCTCTGCTTGTAGAGGATCCTTTCAGGGGTCCGGCATGCCCACCCTGCTCATGCGCCCCCCCGACCCCATCCACACGCGCCCTCTCCGGATCCAGCTCACCACACTGTTCGTGCCTGCGGGCTACTCTTGGCTCTTCAACGCCGGTAGATCCTCTTGCGACCCCGCGGCCGAACCACCGGCACGTTGTTCAGATTTGGGGGACCTCCGCAGAGAGCCCCTGCGAAAAGGACATGCTCGCATTCTGCGTGCAGTACGTGGTGGAGACATGTACAGACCTTGTAGACATGTTCTCCTACACGCCCTCGAGGCCAGTAGGCTTTCACCCAGTGACCTTCACACACGACGACGTGATCCACGAAGTACTGCTTAAGCACACCGCGGTTGAGGCGCAGCATCCCGTCCGGCGCGGCGAACAAAATGCCTGCGCGAGTCACTAGATCTTGCAGCTCCTGGCCCTCCTTGTAGAGCATCTGGCACAACGTCCAAGCCAAGTCCTGGCCGGTCTGGCAGACTCTGATGTCAACGGGCATTTCTGCACACACGCACGATATGTTCATCTACCCTCCACGCCTTGTCGACCACACCCGACGGCGAGGCGAGGATCCAGAAGGTCGTGTACTGCGAGTCGTCGGTCTGACTCCCGCGCGGGGTCCCCGTGCCTCGGTGCATTCGACTGCACACTTAAGCCTGCCACTCACGGCCCCTGATGCATTGCCGAGTTGCAAACTCGAAATTTGACGTGGTTGCCCTCGTTCCTCATCTTCCAGTAGTCGACGGCGGGCGACCGTCCCTGTGAACGGAGCGTCGCACTGTTCATGAGGTGCTCACTCTCGCCGACCGGAAAGGCACTCATTCGCATGGCGGTCCCCCACTCAAACGTCTTCCGCCACTTCGCATACAGGTGCTGGAGACCATCAAAGGTGGCCAGAAGACTGCTCCGCGTGCGACTCTTCAATTCGGCTTCCCACGCCGCATGCCGCGCTTCCAAGGGGTTGGACCCTGCACCACTGCCAGGGCATGTGCCGAAGACACCGGCCCAGAAGGACGGCAACCACAGCTTGCCCCCATGCTGCGGAAGAGCGACGATGGTCTTGAACACACGCTGCACATCGGCGACGGCGCACTTCTGGAAGAACTGCCTCTGCAGATAAGCTGCAGCGTCCGCAGGAAGGTCCTGGAAGATGGCTCGCCATATCAGGTCCGTCAGCTGCAGCGTCGGCAGACACCTGCACGGCAGCGTCTCTTCTCTCCTACATTTTATTTGCCTCTACACCGCTCTGACTCTGGACCTTCTTATCGCCAGCCTGGTGAGGTCGGACAGATCGTAGACATTGCTGAGATTGGAGTCACGCTTCTTCCTGCCGCGCTTCTTGGCGCCCTGCTGCCCGACTCGATCCTTGCTGGGAAGCGACTTCCGCACCGCCTTCTTGTAATGGAAGTAGTCGCCAAGGAAGCGTGCAGCTGGGAACACCTTGCGGCGCGCTGCAGCGATGCCTGGAGCGAAGTCGGCTTGCACTTGAACAATGTTCCTCTGTAAGTCGAAGCCTGCAGCTTCCTGACAGAGCCAAACGAGATCCTCGAAGCAAGCGACCAGATTCTCTTCTCCCTCAGAGTTTACGATTGCTTGCATAACCGGCTGTGCCGTGCACGTGTGGGCCATGTACTGCTGGCGTCGCCCGCTGATCGTGGTCGCCGAGGTGTTTGCAGGAGCCGGATTGCTCGCTGCAAAACACAGCGTGACGACTCCGTAATTGTTGGCAACTGCTCCCATTTTCATGTCCACGATGAGACGGATGCGGTGTCGCGCCGCGTCTCTTAGGCGTAGGAGCATGCCCGGACAGGTGACGGGCACGTACACCCGATCTTCCTGGACCACAATGCCATGCGGCGATTTCAGCACGAACACATGCGCCAGGTCCGGGGACTGCAGATTCGAGGAGACTTCTTCCTGCCGCCTGACGGCCTCGTCCTTGAAGGGCTGGATTGGCAGTGGGGCCACGGCTGACGCCGTGCCATGCTTCTGCCGCAGTCGCTTCACGAGGTTGTGGAGTTGCTTCGACTCACAACCCAGCTCCAGCTCCTTGCGTGCCAAAGCCTCTCGGATGTTGCGGCTGGTGATGGGCTCCCTGGCTTCCACGATCTGATTGACTGTGTGGGCGACACCTGCTGACAGGAGACGACCACCTGTCGCCAAACTTCTTTTGCCGTGTGCGCCCCGACAGTCCACGGTGACCTTGCCCTCGGCTGGCCCACTGACCCACACCGTCACTCTAGCGCGGAAGGAGCATTTGGGGCGGCATTCCGCGCATGACCCCCAAAGCTTGAAACCGCCGCAACCACCCTCGTCGACCATGTGCTTCGTGCCAAAGGTGATCTGGCACGGGGGCTTCGCAGCCTGGCACACGCGTCGCGCAAGACACGTTGCGGCTCTCACGTCGTGCGGCAGGTCCTCATGCACCTCGTTGTAGATGTTCCTCCACGCCTTGCCATCGGTACTCTGTGGCTCACTCGACGCCAATGCTTCTGCGGCGGCCTTGTTCGACGTGAGCTCTTCTTCAACCGGCGCCCCAGCCGCATGCACTTTGCTCTCCGCCGCCATCTGCCTGCGCTCGCTTCCGGGCATGTGCTGCGTCGACTGGACGCCCGTCTTGGCTGCCAGATCCACTGCTGCTGCCTCCAAAAAGCCATCGAAGAAATGTAGAGGAATGCCCCAAGTTCGCAAGGTCGCCTGGACGTCCTGGGACATAGCGGACCAGCGATGTTTCACGAAAACTGGCCACGCGCCGGGCCGCCGTCGTACAACGCCGAAGCCCTGGCGCTCCAGGTCCCGGTACGTGGCGGTCAACTTGTTGTAGGCATCCTCGCGCTGTGAGCGATCCGCGGCATACACGTTGCGAAAGACGGGCACCGTCCGCCCTGCCGCATCTGCATAGATTGCATTGCCCGGCGAGGCCCGCAGCAGCTTGATCGCCACCTTAGGCAAGATGAACTGGCTGCGCTTGCCTACCCCCGCCCCTCTCCCCACAGGCCGGCCCCTCTCACCTTTGTGCCTGCCAGGAGACGGCTTCCGACGTTGACAGCGCCTGCTTGTATGGCCCCACTGCTCGACGCACATCGGCTCCCTCACGCGCCCTCCAACTTCCTCTGCTGATGTCCACATCCAGCATGTTGAAGCCCCGCGCCAGTCTTTTGTGTGTCCACTCGAGCGCGAGCTTGCTGGCGTGCGCGGAGATCTCTCTGGACGAACTGTTGAAAGGACGGGCTTCCACAACCGCGGCGACAGACTCGTGACACAAGCTCGTCAGTAGGCCTGCCAGGACACATGCATCTAGACTCTAGACGCCTCGAACTGCTTTGACTCGAAGCACGTGGCCACCGTCCGAATAGTACGCATCCTGTGAAGCCTCGTGCATAGCCCCCCGTGCCTCTTCCATCGCCACCTTTCCTGCTAGGTTTTGGGCCCAAACCAACTCATCGCCTTGTAGAGGCACCTTGTGGCCGACATTCTCGATGAGCTGCTGGAACAGCATTGCCATGAAGTCGATGAACTTCTCCCGTAAACCTTTCGGGAAGGCTAGTTGACTTCCGCGCCGCCCCGCCGAGAAGACGCAGCCTTAGCTCGCACGATTATGCATGATTCATGCGGGACGTGCAGGGGAGCAGTTACCCAACTTGTGACACGTGCGGCGAGCTGCGATTCGCTAGCCCGATCTTGTGCCGCGCCTCACTCGGTGCCCACCACGTGCTCAGCACCGACGGCTGCTGCAAGAGAACCATGCCGATATTGGTCGTCTCGAAGTGAACCCCGCAGTCAACCTTGTCCTCTTGTCCCATGACTTTGCGCGCCTTGGCCGGTCTTGCAAGCACATCGGCCTGCGTGTCCCAGTCGTATCTCCCTCCGTGCGCCGCTTCCAGCAAGCGCGTCAGAACGATGTGCGTGTCCTTGGTGAACTTGCCGGACTTGGCGTACTCCGGACACAAGAAGGCGGACCCTTCCGGCCCTACCAGCAGGCCGTGCCCGTCACCTTGCTGCAGCCGTGCATTGAAGGCGGCGTGCGTAGACTCCGTGATGATGTGGTACTCCGCCTCCGCCGGACCGGCAAGCCACCGGCCTACTTTCTCATCTGCCTTGCACGCGCGCGCACGTGTGCAAAAGAACTGAGCGCTCCCCAGGAACTCCAGCACCCCTTAATTCAGACTTGGGTTCCTTACACGGTTTGAGGAGTATATAATTAAGGGGTATTGAGACCCGCTGCTGCATTCCACACACACACACACACCTCAGACTCGCTACTGCTGCCAGGAAGCACTGGCTCGCTTGAAGGCCTCCCGCACCGTCTTCATGACCGGGGACTTACCTGTGCCAATGTCCGTCACCACTTGTGCCCAGTAGCGATGTGAGAGCGTGTAGTCAGACCACTCGACGCACACTTTGCGATGCAGCAAGGACGACGCGAACGCCTTGAAGGTCTCGAGTAACATCGTGGAGGACAAGGCAACGACTCGTGCGAAGGCTTCCATGTATACTGCTAACCGGTAGTCTGCGATCCACCACAAGGGTGTGAAGACATCCACTTCTTCTGCAGCTGTCAGCGAGCCTGCGCGCACGGCCCTTAGGCCGGCTTGCAGTCGCACCAGACACTGCCTGAACGTAAGCTGGTCGACAAAGGTGCTGCGCTCTGGGATGTCGCGCAGGGCCTGCGCCACGGACACTGCGCTCACGGCGTTGAGAAACCCAACGACGTCCTCCTCGAAGGCCTGGCGCGCGTCCTGGACAGGGGAGCCTTTCTCCGCACTGAGGCACTGCAAGGGGTTCACGACCGGCGGTAGCAGGCCGTCCACACTCATGGCCCCGGGCGTGCGCGTGGCCGCATCGGCGGTTGCGCTGCTGGCCTCCATCGCCTGCGCCTCGCCCGGGGCGGGGCCTGCGTCCACACTCATGGTCCCGGGCTGCGTGGCCGCATCGGCGATTGCGTTGCTGGCCTCAATCGCCTGCGCCTTGCCCGGGGTGCGGCCTGCATCGGCCACGGAGCTTTCTAGCTGCGTGGCGCTACACCTTGCTGCCTCTTGACCGAGGCTACTCACGTCTGCCGCTGCTTGCGTCGCGACAGTCTCCAGAACAGCATAGTACACCTGACCCTCCATTGCCAACAAACTGCCTTCATCCTCCGGCTGCTCGCGAGGCATGGAGGCCACGCCTGCGTCGTCGTAGACATGCCAGTCCCCCTCTGACCCTCGTACTGCCGCATAGTAGTGACCAGCCTCTGCCTCCGCGCCCACGTGGTGCACCGTCGCCACGACCTGGTACACGTGGCCCTGGACGTCGATCAACTCCGGGACTGTGAGGGGCGTCGTGTCCTTATGCTGGACGAACAGGCCATCCACGATCTCCACTCGCCAGCGCTTGACGGCGGCGAGCAGCACTGCGGGGGCTCGACGGACCCGTAACTTTCTCCAGGGAAGGCGGTTGGACTGGCACGCTGGGCATTGCCATGCCGAGCCCTGGTACTCTAGACCGTCAGGCGCCACAGCCGCGCGAAAGTACCTGTCCACCACACCCTGCAGATCGCGGACGCCTGTCGGCAACTGCATCTGGAGGTCGGACATAAACGTTGCCGCGCCTTGCAGACATGCCTCTCCACAGTCGCGACAACGGAGTTCGTACTGCTCCAGTCCGGCTGTTCCGGCGATGAGCCCCGCCTGTTCGCTCACCACACGGAAAAACTCGGCGCTGTCTTCTTGCGCTCCATGATACCACCGCTCCAGGACGGTCTCCGGTTTCACAGCTGCCGACGCTCGCAGCCTGTGCCACAGCAGCAGGAGGTCGGCTGCGACCGCGTTCTGCGACTGCCGGAGCATCCGTCGCCACGTTGTGACGCTGTAGAGCGCCTGGAGAGCGGCGTTGATGAAGCAGCTGTTGCCTACATTCACCAAACCCCCATGTTGAACATCCTCTGGGGCCTCCTCTACCGGGCTGAACCCAACCCATGTGGTTGGACCTGGCACGCGTCTGAATGCCACGGGCCTCGTCAGAGGCTGCATCTCTGTCAGCGGTCACAAGTGCGTCTGTTTGTAGGGTAGGCGTTCCACCGCCACACGGTGCTCACCTTCATAGTCTCGCAGTTCTTCAACGTTGTTGACTGCGAAGGAGGCGCCAAAATTGCCCCACGCGTGGATTTGGCCTTGCACGCCCAGCCACGCACCCCCCGGCGCGCAAGGCAGATGCCGCACTTCCATGGTCTTCTCTCGCCGCAGAACTTGCTGCAAAGTCTCTACATCTTGGAACAGGAGGATCCTGTCGCCCACGCTCGGCGCCCCGTGGCGGGGCGGGTGCTTCTTGGGTAGGACGGCTGCCATGGCCCTGTTTGCTCCGTCACAGCTGCAGGCAAGCCAGACGTGCAACCGTCATCATGTCCCTGGCCCCGCCCTGTCCCATGTCCCTTGTTGGGAATGTCGGTTTTTCTGACCCCATCTTTTCCCCACACCACTGCGCAGTTCTTGTTTTTCTCTTGCTTGCCGCCCGCCGCCGTCGCCCGCCGCCCGCCGCCGCGCCTGCCCGCCCGGAGGCGCTCGCGCTTTTGTTTGGTCATCCTGTCCCTTGTCCGGCCCTGTCCCATGTCCCTTCTGTTGGGAATGTCGTTTTCTGACCCCCATCTTTCCCCCACGTCACTGCGCGGTTTCTTGTGTTTCTCTTGCTTGCCGCCCGCCGCCGCCGCCCGCCGCCCGCCGCCGCGCCTGCCCGCCCGGCCGCCGCTCGCGCTTTTGTTTGGTTTTACTCTGTGTTTGTCCCGCCCTGTCCCATGTCCATGCTGTTGGGCATGTTGTTTTTCTGCTCCCCAGTTTTTTCCCCACATCACTGCGCGGTTCTTGTTTTTCTCTTGCTTGCCGCCAGCCGCCGCCGCCGCCGCCCGACGCCCGCCGCCGCGCCTGCCCGCCCGGCCGCCGCTCGCGCTTTTGGTTGGGGCTTCCCACCCCCCCGGCGCAGCCGCCACGTTTGTGCATCCTCAACCTGAATGGGGGCCAGGTCCTTATCCTCATGACAGGCCAGGCGCTTATCCTCAACCAGAATGGGGCGCAGCCGCCACGTTTGTATCCTCAACCTGAATGGAGCCCGTCCGTTCGTCCGCTCCGTTCGCCCCGCCACGGACCATACGAGCACAAACGCCGAACATATGTTGTCACACCGTGCAAACTGAATGGGGGCCAGGTCCTTATATCCTCGACCAGACAGACTGAGGCGCAGCCGCCACCTTTGCTTATCCTCAACCTGCATGAGGGCCACCTCCCTATCCTCACGGAGGGGTGGTTCTTATCCTCAGCCACAATGGGGCGCGGCCGCCACGTTTGCTTACCTCAGCCTGACTGGGGGCCAGGTCCTTATCCTCGGCCAGAATGAAGCGCAGCCGAGGGCCAGGTCCTTATCCTCGACCAGAGTAAGGCGCAGCC